AATCTCCTATTTAGCTTTCAGGGTTGATAGATGTATGAGTGGATGTATGAATGAAGGGATAGATAGATAGATAGATAGATAGATAGATAGATAGATAGATAGATAGATAGATAGAAATATAAACATACCTGGATAGCCCTGGCTGCTGTCCTCAGTGTTTAGAGCATTGGCCTACACTCCAAAGGGGCTTGAGTTCAATTCCTGATCATGAGCACCTACCTGGGTAGCAGGTTTGATCCCTGCCCCCAGTTGGGGTGTGTTTGGGAGGCAACCAACTGATTTGTCTCTCACATAGGTTTCTCTCTCTCTTAAAAGCAATGGAAAAATATCCTCAGGTGAGGATTAACAAAAATAATAAGGTATGTGGATAGGTACAAAGAGAGACACATAGAAAGACATAGACGTGTAAATATACACTGTTCTGTTCTGCTGGTCTGCCTGCGAATTACTGTGGCAGGACCACATTGCTTTGATGATTTGGTTGGCAGATATATTTGAAATTTATTTAAGGTGAAATTAAATTAAATCCTCCCCCTCCCTGTATATTCCTGGCTATTTCCATATTGTGTTCTCATAAATATAAGCAAAATAAAATAACTGTATCATTTTTATATGAAAACCATTAAATTTTCAGCATTTAGATAGCTAGATATCTTAGTGAACTATTAAGTGTTTTTCTAGATAAAGTTCATTTTACAAAGTAAAGGCAGCATTGACATGTTTCATACCTCTAATCCTTTCTCTTTCTAACAGTGTTGGTTGGAATGTTCAGAACAATGTTAAGTAATAGCAATGACATGTGCTTGTCTTGCTTCAGACTTTCAAACTCACGTTCAAAGGACTTGCAACTATTGAAATTATGCTGATTAATCACATTTAAAATAAACTATATAACCTATTCAGAAAATGCCTATGTGTTTATATTATTGTTTTCACTGCATAATGTATATTATTATTTAACATACAATTTCTATCATCCACTCAGAGTGGACCCAGGAGGAGCGCTGGGTGATGTGCCTGAGCACCTGGAAGGGTGTCCCTTCCCCCTGCTCCACTTGCAGGAGCATCTGAACTGCCTGGTGGTGGCCAGGCTGCAGAGGCCCCAGCAGAGAGTGGAGGCACACATGTCAGCCAGCAGGTGGCAGGCAGCTGGGCCTGGCTGCAGCCTGTCTGTATTCCTGTGTGTGTGAGTGTGTGTGTGTGTGTGTGTGTGTGTGTGTGTGTGTGTGTGTTTGTTAAATTTTATCAAGTTGAAAAATACAGAAAGCCCAGAATCAGGTGCAAACCCCAAAACTCTAAGATACCTCAGGTCTGTTCTTTCCATTTTCTCTACCTGTGTCTTCATTCTTTTATTCTCCTCCATATCTTTATTTCCCTTACCTTTACATATTTTACTCCCATACCATGCTTCTGTGTAGCAGTTTGGATGCATAATTTAAATATAATTTCACTAACCAACTTTAATTGTATGATGTGATAAGCTTTGAATAGTGTAGAGTTGTGTTGAAAGCAAATTCCAAACTGTAGCTTATATGTTAGGCGATACAACAAAAGAAATGAGTATCATTGAAAATGAGCATATTTTTGAAATTATACCAAAGCTTCATATTTAATCAGGAAAATAAATGTTTTTTACAGAGTTAGATAAAATTAAAAGTTCATTTGAGCTGACTTCCCACATCTTAGAAATTGCTGTTAACTGATAGCAATGTTGTGTCTATATATGTATCAAACTGGGGAAATAATGCTCTTAGAGGTCCCTGGAATCCATAAGGTAGGAAACCACAAATGAAATAATATTTGGGAACACAGTGAAAGGATACAGTTCCATGATACTGACCCAAAAATATAGCTTCCCTGTCCAGAGATTTCTTAATATTATGGAAAATGGTGAAGAAATTGTCAAAAGAATGTTCTCTTTCATACCACAAATGTAACATACTCAGACCTCTAGATCCCAGGATTGCCTACCCTGTCCCAAGTCTAATCCCCTCTCCCAAAAAGGTAATCATATGCTGGTGATTAATATGCCCTGTTTCTAATGATCATTTCTTCAAATTCATATGAATAAAATCACATTGTATACACTTTGGTGTGTACTTTCATTTGTTTTTTTTATTTTTTTTTATTTTTTTTATTTTTCGCTAAAAGTATTACAAAGGGTATTACATAAGTGTCCTTTTTTCCCCCCCGCCCTTGACAAGCCCCTGCCCTCCCTTACCCCCCAGTGTCTTATGTCCATTAGTTATGGTTATATGGATGCATACAAGTCCTTCGGTTGATCTCTTACTCCCCTCCCTCCTGTCCCCCAACCCTCCCTGGCCTTCCCACTGCAGTCCGACAATCAGTTTGAGGCAGCTCTGCCTTTGTATCTATTATTGTTCAAAAGTTTGTAATGGTCTTAATTATCCATGAAAGAGTGAGATCATGTGGTATTTTTCCTTCATTGACTGGCTTGTTTCACTTAGCATAATGCTCTCCAGTTCCATCCATGCTGTTGCAAATGGTAAGAGTTCCTTCTTTTTAACAGCAGCATAGTATTCCATTGTGTAGATGTACCACAGTTTTCTAATCCATTCATCTACTGATGGGCACTTAGGCTGTTTCCAGATCTTAGCTATGGTGAATTGTGCTGCTATGAACATCTGGGTGCATATATCCTTTCTGATTGGTGTTTCTGGTTTCTTGGGATATATTCCTACTTTCATTTGTTTAAAAGTATGTTGGTGAGCCCAGCCAGAGTGACTTAGTGGTTGAGTGTCGACCTATAAACCAGCAGGTCACAGTTCAATTCCCAGGCATGGCACATACCCAGGTTGCAGGTTTGATCCTCAGTCAGAGGCATTACTAGTAGGAGGCAGCCAATCAATACTTCCCTCTCATCATTGATGCTTCTATCTCTCTCTCCCTCTCCTTTCCTCTCTAAACTTTATATATATATATATTTAAAATTAAAGAATTTTGTCTCAGGGTGTTCCACTATATGATTGTACCACAACTTGGTCATTCTACTGGAGAGATGTCTAATCGGTCCTTCAGCCCATTCCTGTTGGATAGTTTCTTTACCTTTTGTCCGTCTTGTATGAGTACTTTAAATAATTTGGATATTAACCCCGTATCAGAGGTAACATTGGCAAATATTTTCTCCCATACGGAGGGGTCCTTTTTCATTTTGATCATGATTCTTTTGCTGTGCAGAAGCTTTTTATTTTGACCTAGTTCCATTTGTCTATTTTCTCCTTCGTTTCTGTTGCCCAATAACTAAGATTTGGAAACAGCACAAGTGGCCATCAGTAGGCAAATGGATAAAAAAGCTGTGGGACATTTACACAATGGGATACTACACAGCTGAAAAGAGGGGTTTCTGAAACTTTGGGGCAGCATGAATGGACCTGAAGAATATGATGCTGCATGAAATCAGCCAACTTCTTGCATTTAATTTCACTTTTCCAGACACCCCTGTCATCTATTATTTTACTTCCTGATGACACTTTAGAAATAGAGCAAAATCCAGAGAACATATTCTATGCCATGCATCATGCGTGCAGATTTTCCCAAACTGAGTAAAGCACAAACCAACCCCTATGTTTTGAATGTTTTCATCATATTTAAAAATATAGTAAATGGATTTTCATGGCATAAAAGGAAACTAAAAACAAAAAAAGCGTAACATATTTGTCTTAATTGATAGTGTATTAGAAAAACGCCTTTCTTAGATACTGGTGTTCCCCAGCATGTAGAATGATTCCTAATCTATTTCTAGTCAAAAGTGACTAAAGGTAAAGTTAGGCCTGAGATGGAGAGAGAAGGAGCAGGAAGAAATTTTACATATAAGGAACTTTGAGCTACATTTATAAAGGTCACACTTTCACCTTCATAATCCAGGAATGCCCCTACTCAGCCAATAGGTTAGGGCACATATTGCAGTAAAAGTGGGGAGGTGGCAAAGTCATTGTAGTGGATGGGGGTTTTAGCATAGCCAAGAAGCGGCCCTTCTGGACACTCCTATTCCTCTCTTTCCAATCATCACTACAGACTCCGGCAGCCCAATTCCAATGTCTCCCACTTCTATCTCCCAGTCATGTCTCCCAGAGGTAAAAGTCTCAGCACCCCAGTCACGAAAACACTCAGATCCAGGAGAGACATTTGCACCTTGAGGACCACATCCCACACAAAGGCTGATCAAACCTCCAGGTAGGAAGACAAGTCTATTAGTTCTTCCCGGCTGCAAAGTGAGAGTCACTGCAAAAAGAAATCGTGCACACCTTGCAAATAAAGTCTGGAGGCAAATGTTGGTCTTTTAAGATGTTACTTTATTGTGAGCTACAACAACACGAGCAGTTTTGGTTGTCACAGCTAGTAAAGTGCAGAGATGACCACAACATCTGCAGAACAAGCAAATCCCTAAAGACAGACATTTGAACATTTTTCTAAATTTAAATGTTTATGGCCCAATGTAAGACTTATCTCACCCTGGTCACTGTCTCAGTGTTTACAGCTTTGGCTCAGACCTGAAGGGTCAGGGGTTTGATTCCACTCGAGGGTGCATATCTGGGTTGCAGTTTCCATCCCTTGCAATGCATCTGTCTGGGCATTGCATCTATTTCTCTTTCTCTTTCTCAGAGTCTCTGTCTCTGTCTTTCCTCCCTCCTTTGCACTCCCTCTAAAAATCTATGAAAGAAAATATCCTTAACCTGGCCAGTGTTGCTCAGTCGGTATGTGTCAGTCTATGACCCAGGAGGTCAAGGATCCATTGGTGGTCAGGGTAGATGCCTTGGTTGTGGGTTTGATCGCCAGTAGGGTGCATGCAGGAATCAGCTTACGGAAGTTTCACTCTCATCACTGATGTTTCTCCCTCTCTCCCTACCCCTTATTCTCTGAAATCAATAAAGATACATTTGAAAATATGATTTCTTTAAGGAAAATAATAAAACTAAAAACCTTGAGCCGAGATGCAGACTTCCCCCGACAGCAGACGAAAACTCCACAGATTGTGCTGTCTACCAGATGCTCAATGGCAGCAACAGTGGCTGCTGCTTCTGGAAAATCAAGGGAGTCTTACACCAGGCAGGATCTGAGGACTGCTTCAGGCGCTTGTGTGGGGGTCCCAGACAGGCACCCCGTGATGAAGCCAGAGAGCGGTACATCTCAGCCACCAAGTGGGGATGGGATGCCACCATTGCCTGCCACCCTTTGGACTCCAAGACATCCTCAGCATGAGAGTGGGTGAAATCCACTGCCCGAGTTTTCAGTTGATGTGCGCTGTGGAGGTCAGCCAAGGTGAGCATGTCTGCAGCATTCTCCTCAGAGAGGTGTCTGCTGAGGGCTTCCTCACACATGACCTTCAAACGCTCCAGGGCATACTCCTCAGCAGCTGCCAGCAAACCATCAGCCATTTTGTCCAGGTTCAGATCATTTCCTTAAAAACTCCAGGCTCCATGTCAATGATTTCAACCCGATTCTTTTTGCTCTCCTCCATTGCGTGTGCAAACATGGCCCTAAACACTGGAGAACGAGCTGCTAAGATAGCTTTATGAGCCTGGAATTCCTGGCCAGCGACACAAAAACAACAGTCTGTGAACCAGGAATTTTCCCAAAGTTCTCCTAGCTCATCAGCCAGCTGGCACTCAGGAACCTTCACCATCTTCATGGTATTCTGGCCAGAAATGGTGAAGGAATCTTGCACCACACTCACCTCACAGAAGAGGGTCAGCTTGTCATCAGGGAGAAGACTATTGTCTTCATCCAAAAGAACATCTCTCGGGATGAATTTCTTGAATCCCCAGACTTTGCCTTGTACAAAGCCATATGCCCGGTGACTCTCCAAAGATTTGATTTGTTCTCCCTTGTCATTCAGGATGGAGAGTTTGAATTTTGCCAAAAATATACGCTTTGGAGAACTGACCAGAAGCAGGTAAAGTGACAGGTAATCTTTGCTTTCTTCACCTACCCCTTTTGGGTATACTCTCAAACACCATTTCAGTTCATCATTGGCTTCTGATGAAAAGGTTGAACTTTGAATGACTTCACCCACTTCCTGCCGGCAAAAGCTAAAATTACCGATGGTCCACATGTGGGAGAATTTCACTACCTTGATCTCGGTGTGGCACCAGCTCTCAGCTGCAGGGCTACTCGACATTTTTGCTGGAGGTGGCGGACTTGGAACCCTTGACATTGCAAGTTTGAAGGTTAAACAAGATTTCCAAAGTCAGAGGACAGAGATTTCTGTTCTCTTTTCACCCACGTTAAGTCAGTAGTGGGAAGATGAAGTTGTCTTGTCTAACAGGATCTCTCTCAGAGCAGGGCCTACAGCTGCTCATACCTGTCCTTCTGCATTCGCTTCATACTCTCTACAGCATGCAGGCTTTGCTTCTGAAAATAACTGTCTGAAAGATGCACCTAAAAGATAAATGCTGTTTTGCTGGCGTGGCTCAGTGCTTGAGCGACCAGGTCAGGGTATATGGCCACGTTGCAGGCTCGATCCCCAGTGTGTGGGGCTTGCAGGAGGCAGCAATTCAGTGATTTTCTTTCTTCATTGATGTTTCTATGTCTCTCTTCCTCTCCCTTCCCCTCTGAAATAAAAATAAAATAAATAAAATATAAATGCTATCATAGTAGACAGATGCTCAACAATATCTAAGATTCATTTAATAATATTTATTGAGTTTTTGGTGAGTGTCAGCCATTTCTTAAAGTGATCCTCTGATCCACAGGTGGGGAACGTCCTGCCTGAGGTCCATATAAGGCCCCCAAAATCATTTGGTCTGGCCCTCCCAAGTCATAGGGGTAATTTAAAGGTTTGACCAAATTGTAGCAGCCTAATTGTCAATAATTTCATTTCCTTTTGTATGGCCCTCAAATGAAGTTATAAATATCCAAATGGCCCTTGGCAGAAAAAAGGTTCCTCACCCCTGTAATCTAATGTATTTACACTTCAATATAGTTCCTGGAGTAGACCCACAGGGAACACTCCCTAAAAATCCAATTACTTCCCCTTTCCACCACTTAAAAGAAATCACAAATTATCCAATACTTGGGTACATTTATCAAATTTACAAAAATGTTGTCAATCTCATGTGTAAAAAATAATTCTTGTGAACACAATTGCTTTCTTCCCATTGGTAATTAGAGTAGCATCTTCTCCTGTTTCTTTGCTCTTTAATTTTCTTTGCCAGAAATAAGTTCTTCATATAATGATTCATATTTCTATTGCATAATCTATTACTTTTATTAACTGTATGTATAGATTTTTCATTGCACTCTAAAAACAAATTATTTCTGACTAAAATGACAGATATTACATGCTTATAGTAAATTCCCTTCATGATCTATATTATAGCAGAAACACTCTATGTACTAGCGAGTACTAAAACATTATTCTAAACCAAAGGCAGAGTTAGTCTCCTTCCAGCCTCTGGTCATAGCTTGCCCATCCATCAGTTAGTACATCATCTTGTTTTATATGTGTTTCTATTTAAAGACATCTTAGTTAATATATATTGTTTATTTATTAACATTGAATTCGTGGCCAATAGCGATAGAGCTCATTCCGTAAGGAAGCTTATCTAACATACATTATTTCCATAAAGCTTAGCTAGAGCTTTGGCACTAAGGCTACGGGCTATTTTAAAGGCGATGTCACCAAGAAACACCACCAAAATGCCAAACACCTGGCATAATATACCATGGAAAAAACACTTACTTGCTGTTTGAGCTTCTCCTTATTCAAACTCTGCTTGAAATATTCAACTGGTGGGACTCAAATTTCTCCTTCTCAGTGCAGGTCCAAGAATGGCTAGGAAAAACTATGAGTATTAGTTTTAGGATTACAAGTAAATTTAGTGCATAAGCAAATTTTCAAATACAGAATCTGTGAGTAAGGGGAAGGACTGACTTCATTTTTTTTTTTTTTTTGGTATGCCATATCTTCATGATTTTATATGAAAATAAAAAAAGAAAAGAAATTTTGGGGAGGGGATATCCTATTCGGTTATTTTAAATAAAAATATTTTAATAACTTTTAGAGAGAGAGGAAGACAGAGGGGAGAAAGAGAAACATCGGCATCTCCCGCACAGTGGATAGAGTCTTGGGCTGTGGACCAAAGGGTGTCTGGTTCAATTCTGGTGAAGGGCCCTTATCTTGGTTGCTGACTCTGCCCTGGCCTGGGCCTGGTGGGGACGTGTGCAGGAGGCAATAAATGGGTGTGTTTCTCTCACATAGATATTTCTCTCCGTCTTTCCCTCTCTCTTTTCCTTTCCCTTAAAATCAATGAAAAATATCCTAGGGTGAGGATTCAATAAATACAAAATTAAAGCCCTGGCCAGTGTGGACCAGTTGGGTGGAGCAACATCACCTGTACCAAATGCCTGTGGGTTAGATTCCTGGTCAGGGCACAAGCCATGGCTCAGGTTTCATACACATTCAAAGTGCATGCTGGAGGCAATGGATTCCCCTTTGTCTTTCTCATCAATACCTCAATCTCTCTTTCCCTCTCTCTCCTTAATTCTCCCTGTAAATAATTTTAAAAAAATAAAAACACAGGAATCTCTACACTAGGAAATCCTGAGATGCAGTTCATGGAAGCATGACTGGTTCATCGCTATGTCTGATAGTCTCTCATTATGACTAGTGCCACTTCTTGGGAAGCCTTACAGTGGTTGGGATCTATTTTAAAGTTTTCAAATATAGCCTGGAACTGAAGGTATTAAAGGAATAGCAAAGCGGACCTTTATGAGTTTTTTCTCATTGACACATTTTTTTTAGGTTAATGTGCATGAAGATTTTTACATGCATACATTATGTGAAACATTTTAGTTGGTTTATGATTTCCATAATTAGGGAAATCTCTTTTATGACCTAAATAACACCTAGTGGCAATATGGCACTAAAATAAAAAAATAATGAAATAACTTATTATCCCAAATATCACTCTATTAAAGTGCTCCAATTCCAGATATTTGAAATATTGATGTCATTTCAATTAACTAGGAAATCTGCTTCTCTACTTAGAGAAGATCCCAGTAACTGGAGAGGTAAATTGAAAATATTTGTAATAAGATAAAGTAGGCATTTTTTGAGATATTTACTCAAAAAGATAAAATCATATACATTCTAAATTCCATACTCACCAGAGTCTACTATGAGTGCTCCCTCCTCCGTGAGTTCTGTGGATATCAGGTGAGTAGGAATTCTCTTCACTCAACTGGCAGCTCCAACTTCAGTCAGTCTACTCTGGAGAAGTGATGTGTCCTCTGCACAGATGGGCCTTTTATATGACAACCCTTAGGCCACACCCACTTGCTGAGATTGGCTAAAATCTACAAAAGGAAGTGACCACCTTAAATGGATTATACAGATTATAGTTTGATAGCTAATTAGGGTTACAACACATAGAAAACAACACTTGGGGGCTGACACCTTAACAGAATGTAAATGTGTTTTCTGGTAAGAAACATGAAACTTTTCAATATGCAATACAGTATTAACTGTAGTCACTATTTCATATATGCTGTAGAAAATTATTTTTAACAGAGGTGCCATGCTACCTGTATTTTGTTGAAACCCATCACAAGTTAAGAAGTTATTGATGCCATATGAATTATTTTCCACATTATCAAATGTTTGGGAATTTAAGTCCTATTTTTAAAAATCTATGAAAATAATGTTGTGAGAAGTTTAAGAAGTGAAAATCTAAGTAACTCTACTTTTAAAATTTATGGAAAAACAAATGTAAAAGCCATCAAAGACCACATATTCTAGAAAGAGGCGCAGCTGCTGCCCTCTAATTCAATGTACAGTATTGTAAACCAACGGAAGGGTCATTGACCTGCAAGATCCCATAATTAATTAATTCTCAGAAAATTATCTCAAACATTTATCAACTTGTTGCAAGTCACCCACGTAAGCTTATAGCAGAAGAAGTTTCCTTTTTTCAGCAAAAATCAATTAATTCTGTGGGCAGTGTGCCCTCCTGTAGTGCTGTTACCTACTGCTGTCCCTTACAGAAACTTCTCCAACACTCACTTGCACTGATATTTCCTAGATTTCTCATTCTGTCACACAGCATTTTAACATTCTATAACCCAGGCCCTGTAATCTGGTTCTTACTTCAAATAATAAATAGAGCAACTAGCCTGGCTGGTGTGGTTGAATGGTTGAGTCTCCATCCATGAACCAGATGGACTTGGTTTGAATTTTGGTCAGGGCTCATGCCAGAGTTTCAGGCTAGATTCCCTTAGGGGGCTTGTAGGAGGCAGCCAATCACTCATTATCTGTCAACATTGATGTTAGTCTCTCTCCGTCTGCCTTTCCTCTCTCTGAAATCAATTTAAAAAACATATTTATCAAAATACATAAATATAGTTACTAAGTTTTGCTATGTATCATAATAACTTCTCAATTCCCTTAGCCCAAACCCAATCTTCAAAGGTAAGGCAAAAGCCCTAGAATCTGCAGATTATAGGTTAGTGGAAATGATAAATGCAAGCACAGAGAAATAAAAAATTCCTAAGGGCTCAAATAAGGAAGAGGGATCTGCTGTGTACAACTAAAGAAGAAAATGAAGAGCAGATGACTGAACTGAGGATCCTTCCCCCTCATCTTTCCCCAGAAAAAGTCCCCAGGAAAACAATGACTAAATAGGTATAAAGAGGCTTGAATCCCTGCTATGGCTAAGAATGAGAGGGGCAATAAGCAGGAAATAGCTACTCCTCTGCCATGTGCAAGTTTGAAAACATTGGACTAAGCCTTCTGATGGTGCTCAGCCATTTAGCATGGGCCCTGGAAATAAGAGGTCATAGGTTCATTCCCTGTCAGCACACATGCCTGGGTTGTGGGCTGCATCCCTAGTGGGCAGTGTGCAAGTGCAACAAAACCAAAGATTGCCTCTCATCATCTATGGTCTATCTCCCTTTCCCTTCTTCTCTGAAATCAATAAAAATTTATTAAAAAACAACAGAATTTCTGCTGTTACCACATATATTCAACGCTATGATGGATTCCTATTCAATACAATTAGACACGTGAAAGAAATAGCTCTAGGAGGAAAGAAAGCTATCATAATTTATATTATTAGCTCAGCATGATTGCATAATTAGAAATTTTCCTGAAATCTATAATTAATGAAGTTAGGAAGAAATGAGATCAGTGAATTTCTTCTAAACAAACAAAAAAAT